ACATCCAACTACCATAAACAGGGGCTTTGCCGGCTCCCACATCTAAAACATGCTAAGGAAGGGCAAGCCTCTGGGGTGATTTTCTCCAAAGCTCTTGGTCATATGAGGCTGCAGTTCAGTTATCAGTGATGCTCCCTGTGGTCTGGTTAGTTCTCACCCTGCTTGCCTCATGGTGATAAAGTGGCTGCCAGCACCTCCTGGACCATGTGTGTCCTTGTCCACATGGAGGAGGAGGGAGACTCACCTGGGTAAGGTCTTTTGGAGGTGTTTTGAGGTTATCAGGGCTTACACTGGGGAAATTGCATGCATAGAATAGGCAGGAAGAGGCCAGGTGTCGTGACTCATGCCTGTAATCTCAGCACTTTGGGAGGCTGAGGCAGGCAGATCATCTGAGGTCAGGAGTTCAAGACCATCCTGGTTAACATGGTGAAACTCCATCTCTACTAAAAATACAAAAGTTAGCTGGGCGTGGTGGTACATGCCTGTAGTCCCAGCTACTTGGGAGGCTAAGGCAGGAGAATCGCTTAAACCCAGGAGGTGGAAGTTACAGTGAGCTGAGATTGTGCCACTGTACTCCAGCCTGGGCCACAGAGCGAGACCCCATCCCTCCTCCCCCAAAAAAGCCAGAATGGGCAGTAAGAGAAGGAAGAAGGTCTTTAGAGGGTCAGGTCCATGCTCGTTCCTGGATCATGGTTTTGGTTTTGTTTTGAAGGCAGGAACCCAGTCTTCCCATTTTACTGCTAGGTCTGCCTTATGTAACTGCGTGGGCTTGTTTTGCAGCTGGATTTAATTTTAGGTGAAGTTATTCATAATTGTTGCTTATTAGGCCTCATGAGGAGTGGAACTCAGTCTGGCTGGTGCTTGCTCTGGAAATTAATGTGGCATTTTCATCTGCATTCTGAAAATCAACCGCTGCAGGAATATTTCTTAGATCCCACACTGGTGGGATCCCAGCCCCCAGGACCTGTGTGGAGCTGGCCCCGAGCCTGCAACCCTCTTTTGTTTTCTGTAGACTTGCTGCGTCCTCAAGAGTGTATTTGGACTCAAGTTTGCCTCCAGAGGGGGTCCTTCCAGAGCCACCATTTCTTTTTCAAAGAAAAGGTGGCTTTTTCAGGAAAGCCTCTTCCCTACCACAACTATTTCTCCAACCCACTCCTTTTGCTGGGCCAGAACTTATTTATTATGATTATGATTATGATTTTGGTGACAGAGTCAATGCACAAAGCCCCGATCATGCCACGGTCCTCTAGCTCTGCTGGCCAAGCTGGAGCACCCTGGTGCCATCTCAGCTCTCTGTAGCCTTGACCTCCCTGGCTCAAGCCATCCTCCCACCTCAGCCTCAGCCTCCCAAATGACTGGGACTACAGGCATGCACCATCGCACCTGGCCAAACCCTTGTGCCTCAGTTTCCACCTTACCTTCCAGGCCTTCCTAGAAAGAATCCTGCAATGAAGCTTGTGGAGACCTTGGGGTTAGTGGAGTCTAACCAAGCCGGGTGGGGAGCCCAGGCAGGGACTGCGTGTGGGCCGCACTTGCTGTTTTCCATGCAGCACCAGGGGTGGCTTCCGCCTGGGATCCTGCCCTGGCTAATGACATTGAGAGTGCATCGTGCATCAGCACGGCCTCCTGGAGTCAGAGGACCGCGCTGCACAGCTCCCTTCTGGGACTGAAGTTGGAGGAGTGAGAAGGGAGGATTCCCTTCTCTTCCTGATGTCCAAGGACACACTCCTTACTGGAGAAAGGAAACATCATTATTGCTTATCAGAGGATGGGAAGGGAACCACTCCCCGTAGAAGACAAACCAGCCTTGGCGTCTCCAGGAATCTGAACAATGGTGTGGTTATGCTGGTGTCTCCTCTCTCTCTAACTTCTCAACTATGCTTACAGGAAAGTGCACATGCTGTGAGTGTTCAGCCAGTTGAAGTTTTATAAATGGAGCCCACTGTGAAGCCGCGCCCCAACAGCACCCCAGGCCCTCTCCCCACCCCTGCCTGGGTGGCCGCCCTCCGGCTCCCAGCAGCAAGGCTGGCTTTGGCTGTCCTTGGACTTCACACACTGGCAGCGGACACTGTGCACCCTTTTGTGTTCGGGTCTTTTGCTCGTGATGTTTGTCCCACCTCTTTGGAGGGATCTAATACCCAAGCAATGTTCCCAGTGTGTGGATCCCACAGGCAGCTCCCCGGGAGGATGGCAGGAAAAGAAAAGGGACGAGCTTAAGAGGCAACTTCAGTGCAAAACCAGAGAGACCAAGGCTGTCTCCAGAGCTGGTCCCCACCATGTGGTGTAGAACTCCGACCACTTGTCCCCAGCCTGCAGGCTGCGCAAAGGTGGGGGAAGTCCCCCGTCCTGGTGGCCCCAGAAGCCAATGGAGGATGTGTGACTTCTCAGGGTCCCCAGCACTCTGTTACACTCGTGAATGCTTTCCTGGTGATAGGAATGGAGAGTTTGTGTCTCCCTCAGATTCCCAGGTTGAAATCCTCACCCTCATGAAGATGGCGTTAGGGGGTGGGACCTTTGGAAGGTGAAAAGGTCATGAGGGTGGAGCCCTTACGAATGGGATTAACGCCCTCATGAAACAGATACCGGAGAGATGATATATCTCCTCCATGTGAGGACACAGTGGGAAGCCTGCCCATCTTCAACCAGGAAGCCAGCCCACAGCAGAACCCAATGGTGTGGGCACCTGGTCTCAGAACTGCCAGCCTGCAGAACTCAGAGAAGAAACATGGCTGTTGTTTATAGGTCACCCAGTCAACAGTTCTTTTCATAGCAGCCTGAACTGACTATGACACTCGGGAAGGCTTGCTGCTTTTTGGTTTTGGTTCTTGTTTTGTTTTAACCTAACCACATTCTTGACCCAGTGATTTAGAAAAGAAAAGCCATGTCTTCTGAGGTGCGGGTCTTCAACAGGGAAGTCTGCCAGGGGTCTTCGAGTCTGCTGTTCACTAGGTTGGGAAAGCTCCTGTGCTTCTCAAAACAGTTCTAAGGCAACATACAGATTGTGAAAGCCATGAAATGGTTGTTTTTAAATAGTTTCTCACACCATTAATTCAGGAGGAGGGTCTTTACCTTTCATCCTATTTTGTGCAAGGGGAGAAAAAATTAATAGGAATTGAGGTCAAGTCAGGCAGGGGCCTCAGAGTCCTTTTGGGAGTGTAAGGGCTGGCCACGCTGACAGGTAAGATGGAGCTTTAAAAAAAATATTTATTTTAAAATAGCGATGAGGACTCACTGTGTTGCCTAGGCAGGTCACAAACTCCTGGCCTCAAGAATCCTCCTGCCTTGGCCTCCCAGAGTGCTGGGATTACAAGTGTGAGGAGGATCTTGTTGTGACACTGTTGGTGTGAGCGTGCGGTCGCCACAGTCTTGGTGACTTAGCCTTTCGCCTTAGCTGTGACTAGGGCCGTGTCGTTCATGAGACCAGCTCTGGAGAAAGGCTTTGGATAAGGAACAAAATGGCTTTTCCCCTTCCTTGAGCCTCTTTTAAAATTTTTTTCCTGAGGATGCTTGCAGATGTTAGGACTACGCCCAGATACTAAGAGCACCTGCCAGGGTGATGGATTTCCTGTGGGCGCCTCCTCAGGTGGGCCCGGGAGGGTGACGGACTTCCTGTGGGCGCCTCCTCAGGTGGGCCCGGGAGGGTGACGGACTTCCTGTGGGCGCCTCCTCAGGTGGGCCCGGGAGGGTGACAGACTTCCTGTGGGCGCCTCCTCAGGTGGGCCCGGGAGGGTGACGGACTTCCTGTGGACCCCTGGTCAGGTGGGGCCGGGAGGGTGACGGACTTCCTGTGGGCCCCTGGTCAGGTGGGGCCGGGAGGGTGACGGACTTCCTGTGGGCCCCTGGTCAGGTGGGGCCGGGAGGGTGACGGACGTCCTGTGGGCCCCTGGTCAGGTGCGGCCGGGAGGGTGACGGACGTCCTGTGGGCCCCTGGTCAGGTGCGGCCGGGAGGGTGACGGACTTCCTGTGGGCCCCTGGTCAGGTGGGGCCGGGAGGGTGACGGACTTCCTGTGGGCCCCTGGTCAGGTGGGGCCGGGAGGGTGACGGACTTCCTGTGGGCCCCTGGTCAGGTGGGGCCGGGAGGGTGACGGACTTCCTGTGGGCCCCTGGTCAGGTGGGGCCGGGAGGGTGACGGACTTCCTGTGGGCCCCTGGTCAGGTGGGGCCGGGAGGGTGACGGACTTCCTGTGGGCCCCTGGTTAGGTGGGCCCGGGAAGGTGACGGACGTCCTGTGGACCCCCGGGTCAGGTGGGCCCGGGAGGGTGACGGACTTCCTGTGGGCCCCTGGTCAGGTGAGGCCGGGAGGGTGACGGACTTCCTGTGGGCCCCTGGTCAGGTGGGGTAGGAGGGTGATGGACTTCCTGTGGGACCCTGGTCAGGTGGGGCCGGGAGGGTGATGGACTTCCTGTGGATGCCTCCTCAGGTGGGGCCGGGAGAGTGACGGATTTCCTGTGGGCCCCTCTTCAGGTGCACACGGGAGGGTGACGGACTTCCTGTGGATGCCTCCTCAGGTGGACATGAGAGGGTGGACTTCCTATGGGCCCCTGGTCAGGTGGGGCCGGGAGGATGACGGACTTCCTGTGGGCCCCTGGTCAGGTGGGGCCGGGAGGGTGACGGACTTCCTGTGGGCCCCTGGTCAGGTGGGCCCGGGAGGGTGACGGACTTCCTGTGGGCCCCTGGTCAGGTGAGGCCGGGAGGGTGACGGACTTCCTGTGGGCCCCTGGTCAGGTGGGCCCGGGAGGGTGACGGACTTCCTGTGGGCCCCTGGTCAGGTGGGCCCGGGAAGGTGACGGACGTCCTGTGGACCCCTGGTCAGGTGAGGCCGGGAGGGTGACGGACTTCCTGTGGGCCCCTGGTCAGGTGGGCCCGGGAGGGTGACGGACTTCCTGTGGGCCCCTGGTCAGGTGGGCCCGGGAGGGTGACGGACTTCCTGTGGGCCCCTGGTCAGGTGGGCCCGGGAGGGTGACGGACTTCCTGTGGGCTCCTGGTCAGGTGGGCCCGGGAGGGTGATGGACTTCCTGTGGGCCCCTGGTCAGGTGGGCCACTTGCCCGCCCCGTGCCTGTGTTGAGGCTGCAGCAGGAATAGCATGTTGGAGCTTAAGGCAGAGTGCTGATGTGCCCACCGCATTCTTCCAGGGTGGGCATGGTGTTGAGCGCTCATTTGACCAGGGTTGAATTAGCAGCGTGCATTGAGAAATGGAACTCAAGTCCAGTGCGATCTTCTGGGAAAAGCTGACACCAGGTAGGCCAAAAGCCAGCATCAAATCCACACAGTGCCAGCAGCTGACTGTAGTTAAGGGAGAGAGCCACATGTTCTAAACTGGGTGAAGATGGGGTCTGGAGAGGGCAGATTAGGAACAAATGAGGGGGTTCTGGAGCTCCTGTGGCTGCTTCGAGGATTCCAGACCAGCGTCAAGGGCAGGGGGTGCAAGGTCTGGCTGGTGTTAGGACCCCTGGGTCCTGTCCTGGCCAGTGAGGGCCTGGTCAGGGGTATGTCAGCTGGAGGGGTTCCCCTCTGGAGTCCCAGGGCAGAACTCTGCTTCACTAGTGTTTCCCGAGAGGAAGGATGGCTTTGTCAGCCCCAGCACATGGACCCAGTCCTGAGCACTGTCTGGCATCTCAGCAGTGACTTGTTAAACATGCTGAATTGGTTATAGCCAAGGGAGGAAGCAGTCAGAGTTGGCCGACCCCGAGTGCAGCTCACTGCTGGGGATTTATCGGGGGTGTCTATTGCTTGTTCTCCCCATAGCAGCATGTGGGAAACAGAGGCATTTCCAATGTCCAGGTGCTCTTTTGAAAGCTTTTGCATTTTTTAGGAGATAGAATCCACTCAGGCTGTAGTTCAGTAGTATGATCCTAGCTCACTGCAGCCTCCAAATTCTGGGCTCCAGGGATCCTCCTGCCTCAGCCTCCTGTGTAGCTGGGACTACAGGCTCACGCCACCATGCCTGGCTAAGTTTTGTATTTTTTGTAGGGATGCAGCCTTGCTATGGTGCTCAGGCTTGTCTTGAAATCCTAGCCTGAGTGATCTGCCTACCTTGGCCTCCCAAAGCTCCAGGATTAAATACATCTGTCACCATGGCTGGCCCTGAAGCATGTCAATTCCAGACCCTCCTTGCTCACTGCAAAGTCCTTTTCTGATGCCTTGGGTGAGCTGTAGGCTTCATCGTGGCCTCTCTCTGTCTCTCTCTTTTTTTAACCTGCCTATATTTCCACTTATTATCTGAATTTCAGGGGATTTGGAAGTTTATAACATTTCTCTGTGGCTCACCCACCATCTTGAGTCTTTAAAATTCACATCTAGCAGGTCCAAGGACATCTTGAAAACTAGACTGTTTTTCCAAAGGCTATCACGGGAGCAGGCGTTGAAGAACAGACTCTTCCTCCCCTCTTCCCTTCATGCTCATTCTCTCTCTCTCCTCATTCTTTCCCAGTCTCTCTCCCTCCCCTTTCTTCTCTCTTTTCCTAGGCTACACAATAATAAGATGAAATATAAAAACAGAAAACTAAAATTAGATGTGATGACCAAGGATTCTGCTTTGGGCAAAGGAAAAATAAACCATACCCGCATTTCTATTTTTCCCAGGACTTGAAGAACAACCTTGGCTCTTCCTGGGACTGTTTCAGAAATAACTCGTGTTTGTTTATGATTATTTATAACAGTTTCAGAGTAGGTTTTCAATAGCCCCACAGAGGAGAGTGTGCGTGGGCTCTGGAAGGGACAGGCAGGAGGACCTCTGGGCAGGAGGCGGGAAGGGCACTGTCACTGCCGGGTCTTGTATCCCCACCTGCTCCTTTGAGTTTCTGCTTGCTGAAGCCACAACATGGGGGTGACTTCCTGAAACACAGGGCTCAGAACTTTGTTTCTCTGTAAGTCTTCCCTGAAAGGACGTCAGAGCCTAGATCGGATTACTTCTTGCATTTGATGGAGTGTGGTGCACACACGCATACACACACATGCACACGGACAGGCACACAGACAGGCAGACACTCTGGGCTCAGGCAGGGATTAGAGGTGACATTTCTGGAGGCATAGAAGGATGGCAGATTCCTGAGCAGTCCCCCACAAACCTGTGTGCCCAGCAATGGTGCTGGCTCTGGGGTGCTGACATCACCCCTCTCCTCCGGGCTCTGGGAGGAGCGCTCTGACCCCAGGTCTCAGGTGGTTATTTTTAGCCAGCAGATCTGTGCTGTGGCATTCTCGTGGTGTGCTCCATGGAGCTAGGCTTTTGGACGGGGCCTCTTGGGCCTTTCGAACTCCTAGTTTCTGCCTCTGCTGGGAAAGAACCAAGAGATAGAGGTGGTTAAAGGTGGAGGGGAGGCCGGGCATGGTGGCTCACACCTGTAATCCCAGCACTTTGGGAGGCTGAGGTGGGTGAATGACCTGAGGTCAGGAGTTCGAGACTAGCCTGGCCAACACGGTGAAACTCCGTCTCTACTAAAAAGGCAAAAATTAGTCGGGTGTGGTGACATACGCCTGTAATCGCAGCTACTCGGGAGGCTGAGGCAGGAGAATCACTTGAACCCTGGAGCGGAGGTTGCAGTGAGCTGAGATCATGCCACTATACTCCAGCCTGGGTGGCATGGCAAGACTCTGTCTCAAAAAAATAAAAAGGTGGAGGGGGACTTGGGACTCATCTGCGCAGCATCAAAGCATCTTCCCTTGGCAGATGAGGCCAGAGGTCGAACGGCTTGCTCAAGGTCAAACAGCCAGCGACAAAGCCACTCTCCCCTTCTGCTCACCCCTGCGCTGCTCTTTATTACAGGGATCCTCAAACGAGGTGGGCTCAGGACTCGCCTCGTGCTCTGAAAAATGACTGAGGCTCCCAAAGAGCTCTTGTTTATGTGGCCACATCTATCCATGTACGCTGCATTAACAATTAATTATAGCTGAGAAACTTAAAACTACACGCTTATTCATCTATCAGTCCAGGCCGGGAGTGGTGGCTCATGCCTGTAAGCCCAGCACTTTGGGAGGCTGAGGCAGGCAGATCACAAGGTCAGGAGTTCGAGACCAGTCTGGCCAATGTGGTGAAACCCTGTCTCTACAGAAAATACAACAACAACAACAAAAGTAGCTGGGTGTGGTGGTGGGTGCCTGTAATCCCAGCTACTCAGGAGGCTGAGGCAGGAAAATCACTCGAACCTTGGAGGCGGAGGTTGCAGTGAGCTGAGATTGTGCCACTGGACTCCAGCCTGGACAATAGAGTGAGACTCCGTGTTAAAAAAAAAAAAAATCTATCAGTTCATTAATAAACCCATTGCACAACAACATAAAATATTCTTATAGCAAATAATTATATTTTTTCAAAACAAAAGAATTGAGTGAAAAGAAGGGCATTATTTTATATCTTGCAAAAATGTATGGCTTAATAGAAGACATTGAGGTTTCCATATTTCTTTCGGCATTCAATCAGAATTGAATTGCATGTTACGTAGCGTCTGGAAGCTTCACTGTGAGAGAATGCGAATGAAGGCAATCCGTGTCTTAGAGTTATTCTGAAATGATCTGCAACCCTGCAGGGGTTCCTCTGCCACACTTGGAGAACCACCGGCCTATCGTCTTTCTCTGTTGCCTCTATGGCAGCAGTCTTTTTGACTCTGGCCATATAGTCGTTCAATAAACATGAGGAACTACCAGGTGTTAAGCTGGAAAAACAAATGTCTCATAGGTAAATGCCGATCCAAAAACTCAGTTGCAAAGGAAATGGAGCACACTTTGTGTTCCTGTAATAACTTAACTTGTGATTGTAGGTCGGGGTGCCAGGGTGCTGGAAAACTCAGGTCAGTCCTCTGGCTGTCTCTACCCAAGGACTGTGGGGTAACCTTGGGGCCTCAGGGCGCTTATTTCCTTGTGGGGTCTTTATGCTTCATGTGCATAAAGGGGGAGCAGCTGAGACCCCAAGGTCTGGTCTCATGGCACTCGGGCTTTCTGGGCAGGAGGTGAGGGAGGTGGGGGTCCATCTGCCCCCTTCAGAGTTCAGCTGTGTCCCTCAGAGGCTGAGGCACAGTTCCCCCAGGATTCACGCTTGCTCTCTCCCCCTCATTGTCTCTCTCCTTTTCTCTCTCGTTCTCTCCTGTCTCTCTCTCGTTCTCTCCTTTTCTCTCTCGTTCTCTTTTCTCTCTCATCCTCTCTCCTCTTTCTCTCATTCTCCTTCTCTCTTGTTCTCTCTCATTCTTTCTCTGTCTCACGTTCTCGCTGTCATCTCATTCTCATTCTCTCCTCTCTCTCATTCTGTCTCTCATTCTCTTTCTTTCTCGTTCTTCTCTCTCTCTCCTTCTTTCTCTTGCTCTCTCTTTCCCTCTGTTGTTCTTTCTACCCATTCCTTTGCACCTTCCTATCAGGCCTGCTGAATCCCTTGTTGGAGAGATCCTTCTCCCTCAAGCCCTCTGCTCACTCCACCTTCCCCCTTCCCCATGGGGGTTTGGGGTTTTAGAACCAAAAGCCAAAAAAATGTGCAGGCTGTTTCTGCCCCAGCCTGCCTCACGCCTCCCTCAGGATTAAATGAGAAAGTAATATATGTGCCTGCCACATACTAGGACCCACTGAGCTGCTGTTGGTGTCCTTGCGATTTGTACTCAGGGATATTGAGGCAGAAAGGTCAACAGGGAAGAGGAAAGGGGAAAATTCAGGGGAAGGAAACCCTGCAGCATTGACATTTCAACCCGGGCCATGACAGCGGCCCCGGTCCCTGCTCTTCTGCAGCTGCCTGGGTCCCTCGGTGCTAAAGGGAGGGGTGGGGAGCATCCCCCCACCAGGGAAGTGTCCCCGCTGCCCTCTCCTTCTTAGCCACTCTGGTTTCTCAGGTCATAGCATGGCTTTCATGTCCAGGAAACCCACTTCTAGCTCACTAGTCAGCAGGCCCGGCTGGCAGGATGCAGCCTTATGGGGTCTCAGCATCAGCAGAGCTTTGGAGCCTCGTCACCCCAACACTGCCCTGCTGGGGCTGCCCTGCTGGGGCTGCCCGGCCTCTGCTCAGAAGCCTCCAGGGATGGGCCCTTCCTCTCCAGCTCCTGAGTCCTCCTCCCAGTGACTCACCTGCCGCCCCAGGCATTTTCAGGGGTGTCAGCCCTTATGTGTCCTCACCTGTCTAGGACCAGTGCCCCTGGGAGCCGTGCCTGGCATTCTGCTGAGAGCCGCTGCGCCAGCCCTGGGTAATTTCTGTGGGACACGAAGACCGTGGCCGGCACACCCAGGAGGGAGTCAGTAGTGGCTCAGGATGGTGGGTGTGAGCGGGAGCA